CTAAGTACTGCTTTTCTACAAAATTGAAGCATGCTGTGAGTGGGAGAGGTTTCTTGGCTGGATAACTATTTTTGTTTGCCGGTGTCCAAATCCTCTTGTACAACCCAAGTATCTCAGATTACCTAAATTCCATGTTCCTTAACCTCTTCACGCCAAGAGTATACAAATATGCGACCTCTCAGCGGGTGGGCCTGGACGCTTTATATTTGCGTACCAAAATGTAAAACCTGTGCTGAGAGCGCTCACCCCGATTGCTACTTGTGATTGGGAGCTTTCCAATCATGTGACAGCCAATTATGTTGTTCACATGATCATAAACCCCATCTCACCATTAGAAACCCCTTAAAGAGCCGGGAGGCACCAGTGTTAAGGGGTCAATGAACTTCAAGAAGGGGGTTTTAGGTTTAGCACACAAAAAAAAAAAAAAATCTTGGTTCTTTGATAGAAGATCAGCAACAGCAGCCTACATAGTCCAAGGAGAGTAATTTTATTATTTGCTCTATAAAGCAATAGTATCCCTGGGGTTATAGTATATTTCCATGTAGTCAGATTTGAGAAAACCCCATTATGTTTTATGTGTTCCCATTTACACAGCATGCCTACAAATAAAAAAAAATGTAATATATTTCTTACCTTTTGGGTGTTTCTTATGAGAATGCCTCATGGCTGACTGCAAGCTGACTGGATGAGCTTCATCTCATTAACATACTCTTTAACCCTTTGTTAGGCCAGTCTGCATTCAAATCTGATAATGATCTCTGCCAGTACAGTATAGACAGGGTTAATTATGACAAGCATAGTTCCCCAGCCTCCTCAAACTACTAGAAACCAAAGTAAGATTTTTTTTTTTTTTTTTTTAGACCTTCTGAAATGGTAAGAGTTTCACTAGAAGCAGATTTGTTTTGCATGATAAAACAGTCTTTCATAATTCCTATTGTGCCAGAAGAAACTGATCCCATTTCCCACTGTTGCCATGATGGACTGACTTAGTGACTAAAGAGCAGGTGGCAGGATTTCCCCATTGAGTCACATTACAGTGAAACAGAAGATTCCCAGCTGTTATGGGAAAGCGTCTGTTGCAGGTATGTGAACAGTGAATGCATTCTGTGTGTCAAGCGTCTATCCGCCCACAGCACAGCGGCAGCAGCTGAGACTTGTAATTCAATCCTCTAACGTACTCCCTACTGATCAGAATATATACCATCACCCACACACATAGCAGAGATGACCAGGGTCCATGATGCTTGGGAACTAAATAGCAACATTACTATTGTGTGAGTCCACAAAGTGACAACTTTCATTGTTTAAGGAGAGGCCACACTTCATACAATACATCACTGACAACTACGCACGTCTTCCTGCATTCTACTGTTGCTAGTTCTTTCACCCAATGGATGTTTCAGCTTCCTTGGTTGTCTATTTACAGAAATGATCATCATAACTTTTTTTTATTTCCCTACATAAAAAAAATTTGACAGACAGTGCTGCTAAGGCCTAAGGTTACAATGAAACCGATTCCAGCTGTAATTCATCATGACATGGTTTACTTTCTCTGCATGGGGCACATGCCTGGGACACCACTTCACCAGTTTGATAAAAAGGACTTCACAATGTTATCCAAAGGGCAACGCCCATTAGCAGCACTTAACATAATCAGTCTCTGTCATTGGACAGGATTCCCTGGGATGTTTAGATACAACGCTTTGATTCAAATATTTACCCTCCCCTGCCTTTGGACTATTTCACCTTTTGCAGTATAAGGTATTCACACTTGCAAAAACGGTTGTTAGCAGTTAGATAAGGAAGACTCCAGTGGGATACCCAGTGATTAGCTGCAGGAAGTAGCTCCACTGAAAGCAAAGTGGGGCTGGCAGCTCCTGTAGCTATTCATAGTGGCCCACATGTAATCACTTAAGCAGTGATTACCTGTGAATGATAGGGCCTGGACACAGACTCTGCATTCAGGGCTGATCATTTGCAGGTTCTCACTGCAATGGCTGGCGGTCAGACAGGGATGTACGTATGCCAACATGGGCAAAAATACCCCATGTCATGTTTGGCGAGCTGTAGCGCCACCAATAAATGGCAGGATCTGGCCCCCCTCCCTCTCCGCATTCTTGCCATACCTCCAGCCCCATAACAGCAAGTCATATCTCCACATGAACTGTGACAGAGCCTAAATAATGCACCTGCAAAACAATGATCCTAGATTAAATGCTTTGCAGGCTTCAAAGCAAAAGAAAGTAAATGCACAATGGTCAGTGTTACTGTATTTATTTATTTCAAAACATGGGACTTAGCTGGCCATAGATAGATAGAATTTCAGCTGGTTCAGCAGGGACCGGCTGAGATTCGATCCACCAAACGGTAGGCTGATTGTAATGAAGCTGATCCTTCAATAGACTTCTGTACAACCAGCCTGTCGAATTTTTAAAATGAGATTACTGCCTGCGGCTATAGCCGCCAACAGGGATCATTGTGTTCTGCAGGCAGGTAAGCCCTGGTTCACCTATATGCGGCTGTGCTTTGCGCGGGCACCAGAGCCCATTCATTTGAATGGACTCCCGTGACACGCAGGGAAGAAGTCCCTGCACTTCTTCTGAAAACGCAGCTCGCACAGGAACCTCAGTTCCCAGTACAGTTGCGTTTTCCAGTGCGGGCAGCTTACCATTAGAACTAATGGCACCCGCCCGCGGGTCCGCATTTCTGTGCAAGTGCACGGATTTTCTTGCAGATCCGCAGCGGCACCACCCGCACATATGTGAACCAGGGCTAATGTAGGCCATAGATGGGTCGAAAATCGGCCGATTTTTCAGCCGAAAATAAAATCGGCCGATTTTCGGATTGTTAGTGGGCTATTTGTTCGGCCGTTTTTCGGTATTTTGGCAGATTTTTTTTATCGGTAAAGTTGGAAAAAAAAATCGGCCAATTTTGCCGATCGGCCGATTTTTGCGGCAATGATGGGCAAATTGGCCGATTTTTTACCGAAAAAAAATCTGCGCATGAGCAGTGACCTGCAAGAGGAAGACAAAAAGAATAGGATGAAGAAGAAGAAGGGGATGATGATGAAGAAGAAGAGGATGATGATAAAGAAGAAGAGGATGATGATGATGAAGAAGGAAGATGATGATGATGAAGAAGGATGATGAAGAAGAAGAGGATGATGATGAAGAAGAAGATGAAGAGAAGATGATGAAGAAGAAGAGGATGATGAAGAAGAAGAAGAGGATGATGATGATGAAGAAGAGGATGATGATGAAGAAGAATGTAGAAGAAGAAGGATGAAAAATAAGAGGAATTCCAGTCCGGCAAAAAGTGTCCCTGCAGAGAGCTCCGCTATTTCTTTGACAGTTCCTTGACATTTACAGCGGTTGCAACATTGTATCTATTTGTTTCCAAATAAAAACATCTGTATCCTAAATGGATACAAATAGATACAATGTTGCAACCGCTATAAATGTCAAAAAAATAGCAGAGCTCTCTGCAGGGACACTTTTTGCCGGCTGTAGACGGGATGAAAATCGGCCGATTTTTTTTTTTTACCATTGCTGGTAACGTCGGCCGCTTGAACGACCGATTTTACGTTTTTTAAAAGAAAAATCGGACGTTTTTCTCCCCGTCTATGGCCTGCATAACACTGACTGTGTTGATGGGGGAAATTTAACAATTTTCTTTCTTGCAACCTATGGTGGCAGAGAGAAAAATCACATCATCGATGAATGGCCTTAGCCTTTAAAATAACTCCTGCTACCTACTGAATTGACCCCAATGTGCACATTTATATTATATGCACACTGTGAAGAAAGACCCCTGTAGTGCACCTGTTCAGCATTTACTGGAAAACAGGTTTGCACAGCACACTGCTTATGTTATCCATCCACCAAAAAGGATTTAGAATAGGTGAAGGGTTAAAAAAAAAAAAAAAAAAAAAAAAAAAAGCAAACAACAATATTTTATAAATCTAAAAGTTTTATTAGGACGACTGACCGACAAAATGTGTTTTGATTTACATTTTAATAAAAGTCCTCACAGAATCCTAAAACACATGCTTAAAAAAAATGAACTAAAAAGACAGGTATTATTATACAATTATTCTGTACAGGATCCCCCAAGTAGCCAACATTGAGGCCACAACCGTTAGAGCTCCTGTTTGGAAAGTTTAAAAGAGATTTTAAAAAAGAGTGCCTACACAAGGCTCATAAAAGTCCCACTGAGCTAATCAGCTGGGATTAGCAACATTCTGGTTCAAAGGAAACCTAAAATACTGAAGAAATGTGGAGGCTGTTGTTATCCACCTATGTTTAAAAAAAAAAAAAAAAAATGCTAGTTCCCTGGCTATGGTGGTCTAGTGACACAAATACCTTCTATGTTACTTATTCAAAGCAACTATGCAGATTGAGAGTTGACCAGGATCTATATGCTTGTTCCTGGTTAATGGCTCAAGAAGCATTAAAGCCAGACACAGCCTGTCAACTAGCATTTTTGGTAGAAGGCCAACAATGTCAGCTTCACATTTCAGTAAATTCCTTTAGGAACCCCCCCTCCCCCCTTTCCCATTTACTCAGCTGTAGGCTAGCTTTGTGAGGGCTCAGTGCTGTTTAAAAAGACCGCATAATTGGTGCACAGTGAGCAGCCACTAATGCTAATAAAAAGGATCCACTTTTTGGAACAGTAAAATTCTTAATTACATGATTAAAATACAAAAAGGGACACTTTTCATTTTACCCACCCCCTATGATCTCAGAACCTTTTTATTTTTTCTGTAACAAACATCACTAACAGCCAAACAAAACATGCTACTCAGTAAAAATGCAGAGTTTGTAACACTAGAGGGAAAGAGGAGCAGAAATGTCTAGGGTGCAGTGTCTCCTGGGCTACACTCATGAAACGCCTTCATCTATGCAGGAAATACTGGATCCTGCAGACATTCTCACATCCCCCTCCCAGGTCTGATGAATGACCCACCATCCATCAGTTGCAGTAATAGCTGTGTGTGGCATTTAGCTTTTGTCTTCCTTTTTGTCATCATCCTCTGTTGGGTAAGAATGCCACGTGAGCCGCTCCTCATAGAACGAGATCACCACCTGGGGACACTTCACGTTTGCTTCCTTTGCAGGGACAAGATCGGCTTCATCTGAGTTTTTCCTGTAGTAAACAGTCCAGGAGGGGACAGGCATTTATATCAAGGGCAAGTAGGATCACTGAGAAACACAAAATTATTACTGTATAGATGAAAAGTAGCCACATGATCTTGTAAAGCAGCATTTCTCAACAGCGGTCCTCAAGTAACCCCAGCAGCTCATGTTTTGCAAGTTTCCCTCAGGTGAAACAGCTGTGATAATTATTAATCCAACAATGCTGATTAAGCAAACTGTGCAAGGTGAAGGATATCCTGAAAAAATAGGTTTTTATAGTACCTGTAAATGCCATATCTGAGTACAGAATATTACACAGGAGTTGCTTCTTAGGGCTAAATCGCTGTTTTTGGTGTTGTATCTGCCTTGAAGTGGATGCAGACTCAGCAGCTGCATGTCAAAATTTGACATGCATTCAAAACCAGGTGCACAGATCCAAAAACACATACAGTGTGTATTTAGAACCATGTACCCAATGAATGTTGAATTTTGACATGCAGCAGTATTCGTGCAGCTGCTGTGTCTACATCCACTTCTATGGGCTGCCTGTGCGCAGCTCCAAGGCAGATGCAGAAAACTGCGGTTCAGCATGCAGGACAGGTATCCGCACTATCTGAATGAGCCCTAACATCTCAGTCACACCAATTCGACTTTGAAATCATGCCACTTCCAGTGAAGTCACGTGATTTCAAAGCTGGATGGTATTCTGACTTGAGGTGTGACTTGCAAGACATCTGCGGCTTGCAAGACACAGATGTCTATGCAAATTTCACCTACTTGTAGATGTCTATGCAAGTTTCACTACTTTAGAAATCAAAATCACACCGATATGATTGCTGTAATTGCGGACAATAGGGTGCGACTTGCCATGTCACATGCCAAGTCGCACTCCGTGTGACTGGGGTCCTAGACAATGGACTATACGTGGCTACCTTCAGGTGGATGGACAATGGCAAAAGCTTTGCTGGGACTGTCCCACAGTATACCCATACACCTAACCCCCCCCCCCCCCCCCAGTTTTTTTTTTAAGCAAGCAGTAAGTAGATCACAGAGGAAGACAGGAGGGATGTGTGGCCTATTCTGTACTCCCAAGATACTATATTGCCAAAAGTACTGCGAAGCCTGCTTTTACACACACATGAACTTTAATGACATCCCAGTCTTAGTCCGTAGGGTTCAATATTGAGTTGGCCCACCCTTTGCAGCTATAACAGCTTCAACTCTTCTGGGAAGGCTGTCCACAAGGTTTAGGATTGTGTCAATGGGAATGTGTGACCATTCTTCCAGAAGCACATTTGTGAGGTCAGGCACTGATGTTGGACGAGAAGGCCTGGCTCACAGTCTCCACTCTAAATCATCCCAAAGGTGTTCTGTCGGGTTGAGGTCAAGCCTCTGTGCTTGAATTCGCGGAGCTCCTGAGAGCGACCCATTCTTTCACAAATTTTTGTAGAAGCAGTCTGCATGCCTAGGTGATTGATTTTATACACCTGTGGCCATGGAGGTTAGTGGAACACCTGAATCCAATGATTGGGGTGTCCCAATACAATATAGTGTATGTAATCTACAGATAAGTCAAAATTGCCATCATCTTAATTGTACAGTACTGGTCACAGGAGCTGAATCTTAGACCATGGGACATCCCAAAGCAATAAATTGAACAGTGAGTAACAACAAAATAGCCAAAACTGCAGCCAGAGGCCCGCTGGAAGAACAAGAAAGGTCCACGGACCTGAAGAAACAGACAGAAGTACTCTGTATCTCTAAGTAGAGGCTTAGACAGACAACTGTGTAAAAAAATTAAATAAATAAAAATGCTAGATGCTGAAAGGAACCTGAGATCCATAAAATCTTCAGGGACTCATTCCCTGAGAGCAGAAGACTTGGAAGCAGGGCAATTTAACCACCCAGATGGATGGAAGAGGGAGGAGATCCACAGTGGGATCTCCCTGTGAGGAAAAGGAAAGAGTTCAACTGGCAAGGAAATACATGGCAAATTGCCATGTCATATTTACCTACTCTGTGCAATGGTTTTGCAAAGAGCAGCCCTGATGCTCTTCTTCTCAGGTCCCCCGCCAGCACTTCTGGCTCCTTTCCCTCGACCAGTGCCCCAACAGTAAGCCACTTGTTATGGGGGCACTGGGGCATGCTCACTCCTGAGCCCTACTCTATGCATCCATAGGAGACAGAGCCCCACCTCCCACTCTCTCCTCATTGGCTGTGATTAGAATGCATGAAGGTAAGAAAACCTTCAGCCTTTACAACCACTTCAAACTTGCAATACAGCCCAATGTCTCTGATTCTACTGATCCTGTGTCCCTTGATTAGGAAAAACATTTTTTTCTATTTTTCATCCTCAAACCCAGTTTATACCTACTCTCTACATGACTCAACGCTGACCCAGACTCCCTCCTCAGTCCAGTACCAGAGGCCCTTTTTAGAGCAGAACACGGTTATTCTACTCATTTATTGTGAGTGTAGCCTGTTGTTTACATGCCCCCTAAGGGGAGTGTCATCATGTAGGCTCAGCGCAAAGCATTCCGGGACTAAATGTAGTTCCTCTCAATCTTAAAAGAATTAGAAGCTGCCCACGCATGAAGGCTAAAAGATGTGTGCGTGTTTGTAAAGATTTTTTTTCCTAATTTTGAAATGAATGGGGAAGAGTTAGGCAGCATTTGACACCCTGACAGAGGATCTGGCTCTACTGTGGAGATTTCCTCTTCCTCCACTTTTAATCCCTGCGACACCAGTACATGAAATATGTTAACCTGAGCTCAGGAGGACAGGAAATCTATGGAAAAGGCTCCAACCCTGCCATAGTCTATCCAAAATAAAACAGTATGTACAGGGCAGCTAAAGAAGAAGATTCCAGATTCAGCCAAAAAAGCTATGCACCTTTGCACTTCTCATACTGTAAAATTCTTCTCCTTGCTGAGATCTGCCCAAGTATTCAATATGCGAATATGTGAGTTCACCCCAACAAACCCCACACGCAGAATAATTAGCTGCCAGTATAATGGGTCATGACTCTGGGGAGAAGTTAGAAAATCATATCAGTTCAGACATGTCTAGGACATGTTTTTTTTCTCCTTAGTGATGCATATTAAATACTTGACAAAAGCTCAGCACCATCTTGTGGTAGAGGAAAGATTCACAATGATAGGAAAGACAGGTTTAATTTTCATTATTTTAGTAAGACTCCAAACCAAAAACATACGTTTGCTCACAGTGAGGGTTATCTATTTAAAATGGCAGTTGGGGTTTTGTTACGGGACTGTTCGGGTTTTGTTACGGGACTGTTGGGGTTTAACCACCTCCTGCACCTGTATACCTCTTATGGGCCACAGAAAGTTTGACATTTCTCCTGTCGGCCTGTTTATTCAGTGAACGCTTTTGTAATTGCTTAAAGAAAGACAAAATAAATGCAATCTGTTTATATAAAAAAAAAGGTAGGAGGCACCTTCTAACCCTCTTTTTCTTCATTTCTCAAAAGTAAGCATTTCCTCTGCTATTCTTAAATGTCTTGTTCTTGGGTGCCTACATTTGTTCTCTACATCTCTCTTGTGTATGTGAATGTAGCCACCCTCTACTTCCCCAGAGATGGACTGCACAGCTACATGCAGATGCATTCAGCACTATGGGAATTATATGCAGAGGTTGCGTGTGTATATTGTATAATAATATATATATATATATATATATATATATATATATATATACATATACATATACACACACACACACACACACACACATATATATATTACACACACACACAATGTAAGTTTATTGTAATTTTAAAGTCCCACTCCAGGCAGCAGTAAAAACACAACCCTTATAATCTACAGGGCCTACTGTATATTTTTTTTTTCTCCAGAGATGGCCAACGGGATACCTGTCTGGTAGATCAGAACATCTGTCAGGACTTTCCTGCTCTGTCCCCATTAGGGTGTTTCACCCTCCCTTTTTATCCTGTTTACTGCAGTCAACAGTTAAAGAAAATCCCACATTTTGAGTTCCAGTAGGGACACTAGTTCTGACAACAACAAGCGATTCACTTACTTTGGAGGGATTGCCTTTCCTGTTTTGGCAATGGGACAGGAAGTAAAAGGGAAATTCCCCCCCCCCCCCTTACTTTATGATGACCCTCCCTTACTTTATTCAAATAAGAAAAAAAAAATCCTTTAGTTCTACTTTAAGAAAATGGCATACAGTGAGGCTTCATGCAAAGCATACCAGTGAACAGATTTTGGGTTTCTGCAAACTAAAGAATTGAGCCTACAATGATGTTTACATGTTAAATCTAAGTAGCATGTGAGGACACAACTCACCATTTCATTAGGAACATTAACTCTCCACTTGAGTCTGTGGCTCCAATGATTCTTTCTGGCTCTAAACCCCTCGCAAATCCACGGGGCTTTTCAACCTGTAAAAGGGAACAGAAACCATGTCTGTATCAGTGGCCAATAGCAAAAGGACGTTATAGGTCATGCAAGGGTTTTTTTTCCCTTCTGTATCAATTGTGGGTATAGGATTGTGTATATGGAGGTTTTCTATTTGTGTGTGGGTTTTTTTTTTCATTGGTTGAACTGGATGGACATTTGTCTATTTTCAGCCTTTGTAACTATGTAAGAGAGGGCATAAAGGTTAAGAAGACTTTGCAATATAAACCCTAAAGTTTCTTTTTTTTTTTTTTTTCTTTAGCCTAAACGAACGGCCCCTTTTGTATGCTGTCACAATACAGATAGCCCCCCATTTCTTACATAGTGTGGGACCAGACCAACCGATGTGGCTGCCAATCATTTGACAACTATCATGTTGATCATGGGAAAAGTTTAGTACAGTAAATGCCAAGTTTGCTTGCAGCTACACTGAAGAAGTGAAGATTATTCTTTTTTCCTTCATAGCAGTCCTATATATAGGAAAAGGCAGGTGTCAATGCCTGCGGTTTGGTAGCTGCTATTAGTGCAAGATATTTATAGGTTGATCTACACTTCCATCACCAGTTCTTGAGGAGAAAAAAAAAACAAAAAACAAACTGACTAGAGATATATGTCTGACCTGACCGACTGCTATTAAAGTAATATTAAAGGCAGATTTTTTTTTTTTTTTTTTTTTTTTTTTAATAACCCATGTCATTCTTACCTGCTCTGTGCAATGGTTTTGCATAGAGCAGTCCTGATCATCCTCTTCTCAGGCACCCCAACAGCGCTCCTGGCCCCTCCCTCCTGTCAAGTGCTTCTAGTGCAAGCAGCTCACTCATGAGCCACTGCTTTGTCTGTCCATTCACAGAGACACAGCTATGGTTCGGCCCCACTCCCACTCTCACCTCATTGGCTCACTGGCTGTGGTTGGCAGTAGCGGGAGCCAATGGTTCTTGACGCTATCTCAGCCAATGAGGAGGCAGAGACCCTGGACAGCTGCTGCTCTTGTGCACATCACTGGATTGAGACGGGGCTCAGGTAAGTATTAAGGGGGGTTGCTGCACACAGAAGGTTTTTTACCTTCATGCATAGAATGCATGAAGATAAAAAATCTTGAGCAAGTGCAGGATCTTAAAAAGGTCATTCCAACTCTTCTTTTAAAATTACAGCAAAACCATGTTATAAATCTAAATGATTTATAGCCTCCCACCATCTAGGATTTAAGCGGCAAAGAAGTACCACACATTTCCATCAGTTACTCAGATACCAGAGGAGAGCCACAGCAATGAAGCATGTGGCTGCTGACAAAGAGATCTCTAAGACTCCAGTTAGAATTCATCCTGTCAACACCAAGGTGACCAGCTGCTTTGGCTGTGTTTTTTTTATACTATATACGTGATTTTGCATTTCCGGGTAGGGGGGGCATGCGAGCTGTGATTACTCGCTGGCACCCGGTGATCGCCGAGCTTTACTACTGGAGGGAGAGAACTGCATGTAAACAATACAGTTCTCTCCCCTGTCAGCTCTTGCACACTGCTTTGTATGGCTCTGCATAGCACATTCATACAAAGCAGTGTGCTTACAGTTGAAAGCACTAACACAGCACACAGTAAAACAACACACAGCTAACCCTTTTATCGCCCCACGTTAACCCCTTCCTGCCCAGTGTCACTAGTACAAGGTCAGTGCTTTTTATTAGCACTAACTATTGGTGTCACTGGGGATGTCAGTGACACCAAGTCAGTTACCCCCAGTGTCAGAGTGCCCACCGCAGTCCCACAGTCCTGCTATAAGACACTGATCGCCGCCATTACTAGTTACAAAAAAAACAAAAAAACAAATCCCAGTATACAGTTAGGGCCATATATATTTGAACACAGGAACAATTTTAGTTTGTTTTCAGGTATTTACCAAAACATATTCAAACTATAGTTATATAATGAATATGGGCTGAAAGTGCACATTATCAGGTTTAATTTGAGGCTATGTACATCCAAATTGGTGGAAGGGTTTAGGAATTACAGCTCTTAAGAGTAGCCACCCCCCCCCCCTTTTTCAAGGGACCAAAAGTAATTGGACAGTTGAATCAAAAGCTGTTTCATGGCCAGGTGTGGGGTACTCCTTTGTTAATTCTTCATCAATTAAGCAGGTAAAAGGTCTGGAATTGATTCTAAGTGTGGTATTTGCATTTGGAATCTATTGCTGTGAACCTACATCATGGGTTCAAAGGAGCTGTCCATGCAAGTGAAACAGGCCATTGTAAGGATTCAAAAATGAAAAATCCATCAGAGAGATTGCAGCAACATTAGGAGTGGCCAAATCAACAGTTTGGTACATTCTGAAGAAAGAACAATGCACTGGTGAGCTCAGCAACATAAAATGGCATTGATGTCCATGGAAGACAACAGTGGTGGATGATCGCAGGATCCTCTCTATGGTAAAGAAAAACCCATTCACAACATCCAGACAAGTGAAGGACACTCTCCAGGAGGTGGGCATATCATTGTCAAAGTCTACAAACAAGAGAAGACTTCACAAGAGCAAATACAGAGGGTTCACCACAAGGTGCAAACCATTCATAGGCCTGAAGAATAGAAAAAACCAGATTAGACTTTGCCAAAAAAACACCTAAAAAAGCCAGACCAGTTCTGGAAAACCATTCTTTGGACGGATGAAACTAAGATTAAGCTGTACCAGAATAACGGGAAGAAAAAAGTGCAGAGAAGGCTTGAAACAGCTCATGATCCAAAGCACACAACGTCATCTGTAAAACATGGTGGAGACATGGTGGAGGCAGTGTGATGGCATTGGCATGCATGGCTTCCAGTGGCACTGGGTCATTGGTGTTTATTGATGATGCGACAGAAGACAGAAGCAGCCAGATTAATTCTGCAGTGTTTAGAGATATACTGTCAGCCCAGATTCAGCCAAATGCAGCAAAGTTGATTGGACAGCGCTTCACAGTACAGATGAACAATGATCCAAAACACACTGCAAAAGCAACCCAGCAGCTTTTGAATGAAAAGAAGTGGAATATTCTGCAATGGCCAAGTCAATCACCTGATCTCAACCCAATGTGAGCATGCATTTCTCTTGCTGAAGGCAAAACTAAAGGCAGAAAGACCCACAAAGAAAGAAAAACTGAAGACAGCTGCAGTTAGAGCCTGGCAAAGCTTCAGAAAGGAGGAAACCCAGTCTTGGTAATGTCCATGGGTTCCAGACTTCAGCCAGTCATTGCCAGGAAGGGATTCTCAACAAAATATTACAAATGAACATTTTATTTGTGATTATATCAATTGTCCAATTACTTTTGGTCCGTTGAAAAAGGGGGGGTGGCTACTATTTCTGTGCTCAAAGCGGTACTTCTTTTGCATGGAAATATGTTTTTTTTTATTGTAGGCCTGTAATTCTTAGGAATAACTTACTGAAATCTGTCCGAACAAGGAATAGGAAAGGGAATATAGAGATTGGGTTGGGGAGGGGAAAAGAAAAGTTTTGTATTTTGATGATATTAGATCGGCAAGAAATTTTGTCTTTTACTGTTGGAATGGATGAAATGTGAAAAATTAAATAAAGTATTAATAAAAAAAAAAGAAATTTGATTTTTTAAATTTTTTTTACTGGACATGTTTATTAGCAAAGTCAAAAATAGTTTTTTTTTCTCAAAATTGCTGGCCTTTTTTTTTTTTTCATAGTGCAAAAAATAAAATCGCACAGGCGATCAAATACCACTGAATGAAAGCTCTAATCATGGGGGGAAAAAAAAGGACGTAAATTTCATTTGGTTGCAGCCTTGCATGACCGCGCAATTGTCAGTTAAAATAACGCGGCGCCGTAACGTAAAAAATGGCCTGGTCAGGAAGGGGGGTAAATCCTCTGGAGGGCAAGTGGTTAACTCATTGGTATTTTTAAATATTTTATATATAGTTTAAACCCCTAGCACATACCTATGAGATTACATGTTAAAATTAAGAAAAAAAAAAAAGCCTAGTAGTATCAAATTTACAATATATACTCCATGGTAACTAAAGCAAGAGAATTGCCAGATTTAGCTAATTTAATTATTTTTAATAATTTGCATGACCATGCAGTATGCATGCTCAAATATATTAAAAATGTTTTTGTACCTATTAATATCTAAAGCTGGTCATACACAGATTTTTTTTTTCATTCAGCCTGTGAACATTATACAGAATGAATGGATAAATCTGCTGCTACGGCTACCTGAACAGCAGCAGCACCTGACTGGATGTAGCCGGCATTCAGCCGACAACTTTGTTCAGCCCCATCAATTGTTTAATCGAAGGATGTCAGGCGGAAGGGTGGTGACAAGCCCACTCACAGAGCACATTTCACTGGATTTATCAGGAACCTGCTGAAATTTGAAATGTCAGCTTAAAGAGTAACTCCTCTTTTGTTGAGGAAAAAAAAAAAGGATTTTGTCACACTTTGTTGCAGATTCTTACCTTTTGATGTTCTGAAGAAATAGCTGTTTGTCTGTGTCCATGTGCAAAGAGAATCTGCATGGGAGTGACTTTATAATGGTCATTAAGCTGCTGCACTTGCAGGGTTCTGCATCCCTTTAGGTATGATTTCCCTTTGAGAGTATCTCACCAAAATGACATGCTTGTTGCAGGGGATGCCCAAAATCTGACTTGTATCTTAGTGCAGGCTTCTGGGAAAATCAGTGAGCCAATCACACAAGCAGGAAATGACATTTCTGGGGGGCGTTTTGTATACTGTGTACAGAATGCCTGCAGGTACCATATTGCATTGGGTTTTTTAAAAATGACAGCGATTGAAAAGAAAGGTAATTTTAATACCATTTATTTACAATATGACTTGTGTAGCAATTGTATACGCTATATTATTTATGTGCGATTTTTTTCCCCCCATGAAAGTGGAGTTACCCTTAAGTCAACAATACGTAAATCAGCTCTCCAGACAACCAAAATTGTTGTCGGAATATCAGTCATTGCTGTCCTCAGAGGTCTGAGGAAGA